AGAAGATGACCCCTACTGCTGCATACTGTATGGCTTTCACCCTGGATATCTGCTTATGTGAAATCAGATACGATCTTTCCATTCATCGTCTGGAAACTTGAATTAATTTTTATCTCTTTCCCAGCACATGGCATTAACGGTCACTGTAACTGAGCTTTCTTCCACACTGATAACAGCATAACAGAGGCTATTCTCTGTATATCTTAAGAAAGAAGATTAGGGACTGGATTTTCTGTTGGCGTACCCTCCACCAAAGCTGGAGGAGTTGCCTCAGCAAGGAATTTGGCTTAAGGCATTGAAATGTGAGAAATGCTGTGCTCTGCTCTGTGTTAATTTTCAGTGAACTGCACCTACATGTTACTGTCTTGCATATCAACAATTCCTCCAGGTATCGACAGCTACCATATTTTGGGCATGGCTCGTACGGAGGAAGAGCCTACATGTGTACCTACGACAACATGCTTATGAAAAGAAGCAACACTTATTTTTTAGGTGGTAATTAGCAGGGTTGATGATCGAGCCCGCCACGCATCGTATCTGTGTCTCTTGAGCTCTGTGCCTGTTAATTTAAGGGCGATGTAGCAGGGGAACGTGCAGCATATGTCCATAAAACTAACTCCACACCTTGTCACAGCATGCAGGCTTCATGTCCTTAGGCAGGTCTTCTCAAGTGAAATCATAGCCTCAAGGGAGTTGGTTGAACAGATGTGAAGAGGCTTTGATTTGGATCAGTGCCTCCAGGGACTGCTGCTAGCTTGGGGCTGCTCTGTTTATTTTACCTTCATCTTCCTTCTCAGACACAAGAAAAACAGCTGGGAAAGAAGAAAGGGGATGTGGCATTGCTAGAGGCCTGGAGATGCAAAACAGCTGGAGGTAACAGGGAAAAAAAGTGACTCTCCTAATTAGATATTAAGTTAACACTTACTGTTCAACTAATTTCTTCACAGAGCAGTACATGGTCCCTAGAATAAAACACATCATTTCCAGAGAAAGTGTCTGTCTAATCTAACCTTTTTTAATTTATCTAATCAATCTCACATTACTGTATTTGTAAATTATCTATTTTCTGGGAGATTGCTCATTACTTTTACTCTATGTATGCTAACTGTAATGAACCTGAAAGCTGAAACAGATGATAACACGGTAATTGTTTTTAGAGTCTGTAATAATTCATGAGAATTGCCTACAACGCAGGTTTTTGATGGTCTTCAGGGGTAAACACATTAAAACCAGGTTCTTCTAAGCTTTTTTTACAGTCTATTAACATAATAACATCCTGTAAAATAAGTGTCATCTTGATCTAAAAACGTCTGATGTTGGTCCATTAAATACCTTCAACTTCAGTTCAGACTGCCAATAGTCTCCATATCTGGGCATCATCTCGTTGAGGCATTTCCTGCTGTTTTATGGAAGTGACCCAACATTAATAATATACCAGGAATTTGCTTCTTTTACTTTAAAAATGCATTAAGCCCCATATGACTGAGAAAATCAACTTGATAAATTTTGCTGCATGCCAAGATAGATGCCAATGTGCACATAGCTTAATCAAATTAGATCTTGAAGCCTTTAATTCGATCATTAGCAGTTATTATTTCCTCTTCAAACCTTGTAATTAAATATCACATGAGGAATATATAATTTTCTTTCACTTATTTATGAAGTATCAAGGGTTACATTTGACAATGGTATTATGATACACATCTGTTTGTATTTAAATTAGGAAGGTTTTAATGATACCTCAAGAATTAGAAAAGCAATTGGTTAACTAAACTGAGGGAATTCATTGTAAATGAGAGCGCATTATGTTTACATAAGATGTGCTTTAATCCAAGAATTGCTGTATAATTAGTTACATTATGCAGAACAAAATTAGATATGCTTGCATTATTTACTCTTCTTTGGCGCATTAATCAGGGCTCTTTGTAATTTCACAATCTTCACTGAACATCACAGCTATTCTTTTGTAGGTAACGTCCAGCTGCAATAACAGACAAAATTACAGGGTTTTGACAGGTCCAAGAAAGTTGAAAAGGAAACTGTATTAAAAAAGAAGTCAAAACTACAGTGTTTTGTTTGCAATATACAGATCTTAAAAATTAATGTAGTATCTGTAAATTATAGGTAACAGGAAATATAATAAACTTGGGAACAAGCTCAAGATTACATCCAGGCAACTCATACTGATTTTGTTTCTAGATCCATTCTCAGCAGTGCAGGCATTATGCTATTCGAGCTAGGCACAGTCCTACAGGGTTAGAGCTGCTGCCTGTGTCTATTTTCTAATAGAGACCGACTGGTCAACGAAACCATGCGCTGGACAGTTAAAGGAATACCCTTCCTTACTGACAGCTTCTTCCTAACCTTCAGGTGCACATAGTTTTGTGCATCAGGGGCTGCATTTTCCTACAGTGATCTTCCACCATGTTTTAGACATTACAAAAGATTTAACGCATTATAAAATGCAATCAAAATGTATCTTGTCAAAGTTTAGTCCAGAGCCAGGTATAGTTTTTAAACATCCCTAAATGTCAAAGGCATTCAGATGACCAGGACTTTTTGTTGGAACAATTTATTGAAAATAATTATTTCAAGTAATTAGAAATGGTGAATCTTAGCTGTGAAGCATAGCATGGTGTATGAAGAGCATAATGATCATTGGTAATTTCAGGAAAAACTAAAGGATAATATATATGCTTTCTGAGCAGAATGTGTGTGTTTCCAATGAAGACAGATATGCATGGCACATTCTTTTATCTCTTTTTCCACTACCATCACCGAAGGGCTGGATCCGTAGCAACGCAGACTTTTTGCCTTCAAGTAAATATATTTGAAAATAGATTACTTTGTGAGCACTTGAATTGATTTAATGTGTATTTACTCTTCAGATATGCTCCCTTGGCTGTTTACCTTTGCAAGATAAATATTTAAAATTGCATTTGAACCTCACATTAGCATTTATATTTATGTCATTACAGTCTCTTTTTGTGAATGAGATTCCCCTATCAGTCTTAAAACTGCAATAAGAATGGGTGTATTTTGGTAACTTTTCAGGTTCCCGAGATAATCTGCCATAGGGATGAATTAATTTGGTGGCATGTTTACTACTTTAATTCATCATCTAGTCATAGGAATAAAGTATTCATCAGGATGAAAAAAATGGGTACTTTGTGAACAGTGTCAGATTGACAGGCATGGCAGCAAGGCTCCATATGTAACCCATGGCAGCCACATGCTCATGCAAGCGGTTAAAAGTACATGTTTCAGGGATGTCTGCAGAAGGCTTTTTAGCCCACCTTCATTTCAAAGCTTGCCCACTAGGTTGGTGTGCTGCTCAGTGGGTTGATGGCTCAGGAGGCCCCCCCCAATCCTGTGTCCTGGTACTCCTCTTAAATATTTCTGCATACTTACAGTCATTTGAAAATATGTGCTCTAGTTGGAGCTATGCCGGGTTGCAATCTAAGTAATATCATATATTTGGTACTTTCCTACAGTATCCTTTCCGTACCTATTATGTCAAAACCATGACATACTGTGGTATTAAATGAAAGAGATGTTTACTTTCCCACCAGTTTTGACAGATGCTAAAAACTTTGTTTGTTCATTCTCATTTCCCATTTAGCAATATGAAAATAACTTGATGGATAACGTCAAATGCTGCCTTTCCAAGAACTAATGGCATATAATTATATAATTCAACAAAGCCTGAGTAAAAAAGGTCCAGAAGTCAAGGTGAATTGTGAAACACGTGAATAAAATTCAAATCTCACACAGTAGTATTTGTGGCCGTTTTTGAGAGCAGGAAACAGCTCTGTATTCTGTGAGAGTCTGGATATTTTATTTTCTTCATTACTTATCTTCAAAAAGTAAAATTATGCTGTAAACTATGAAAAAATTATTACAGAAACAGAAAGGGTTTGAGGAATTTAAGTCTCTGCTTGCACAGGATTGTACAAAGACCGGGCACTGATCTCTAATGGCTCTGCGGAGGTAATACCTAATAAGGCTGCCTACACACGTGCTCGGAGGTGGAGGGGAGGGCATTTTAATTCGAGTGGTTCCCAGGTAGACACTGATTAAAATGCCACAGCCTCCTGTGTATTAAGCCCCCGTGCATTTAAAAATGGCTACGGGGCACTTTAGATAAACCTTATTCAACGAGGTTTAGTTAAAGCACCTGCAGCCATTTTTAAATGTGCGGGGGCTTAATACACACGAGGCTGCAGTCACACTGCAGCGTTCTAGTTAGAACGTGGAGCAGACACGATTGCTCTCATTAGGACGCCAGCGAGCCCGTGTATAGGCAGCCTAAGCTTCCCACGTGGAAATGGGTAAAGCTTCGGTGCGGTGTTTATTTAGACGCATCCTGATCCAGACAGCACCGAAAAGTTGGCCCTTGGCACCTCTGGCAATACATATTGCTAGTTGGCTCATGGATTTATCCATAAGGAGGGGCTCCATTTTTTTTCAATGTTGTGATTTGTAGTAATAGATATGTTGGGACCTGTAGACCGTCTAGTCCACCTTCCTGCTCCAGGTGAGGTAATGCCCTTCCATATGTTTCCTTGTACTTTGCTCAGCCTGATTCCAGCTGCACATTTTAAATGGGCTCCAGTGGTTTTGTATAGCTGGGAGCCAAGGCAGAATATTGCCATCCTTCTTATTTTGGTGTTATGCCCTTGGTCTGAGAACTGTATCTTCTTCTATGCTCTGTAAAGTGCTGAATATATTTTTAGCTTGATAAATAAAAATTGAGGGTAGCGGTAAAGGCTTCTGCAGACATGCACTTATGGAAACAAACATGCTGGGTCATGCATAATGTGGTCAGAAACCAGAATTGTGTGTTTGCAGCATTGATCAAAGGCTGCATCCCGGAGTAAGGACAAGTAAATTGAGGTTCCATCTTGGGTGAGCATGTGGTGATGCTGGCCAGCTGGCTGTCTGAAGTCAAAGCACGCTGAGAATAACCACAGTTTCTCCTTTTAATTTGTTTCCCCTAGAGCTCGCAAGACACAGCAGAGCCCTTGAAGGATGGTGATGGGTGTGCAGATCGCACTGAGAAGGTAAGTCCATTGGTCGGCAGTATATCTCCACTGTGAGTTTTCAGAGAAGATAAAATGTTAGCTTGCAGGTAATGTGGATGTGGGATTAACAAATGCAGTGCTATGATTTTTTTTAAAAATTTTGCAGACACTTTTTCACACTAATAAGAAATTATTTTCATGGTAACTGCTACAAACCTGCCTTATCCTGTTGTGAATAGGCACAGAGTCATTTTTATCATTGAATGGACCAAGAAACAAGAATGTGCATCAAGTGTGCAGGTTTAACAATCTGGGTTCTTACCCCAGGTTACAGAGTTTAAACCAGACTTTTCACAAGAACCACACGTCTTTATTACATAAGAAACTTCGGGGTCCTCATCGCTTTTGCCTTAGGTGAAATAAGGATTATCTTCTGGAGCAGTGCGATTTGTACAGGATATTGAGGCATTAGAGGGGTATTTTTCATTCATCAGAGTATAGGATTGAAAGAGACTCCTTGGGTCACTGAGTCCCGGCCTCTGCTGTTGAAGACAAGCAGTTCTTATAATCCCTTTCATAAACTCCCTTAGGTTCTCTCTACTAGATGGCAAATACATGATCCTGAATAGCCAGGTTTGTCTTTAGTTGGAAATAGGACACACAACCTTTCTCTACACATCTCCTTCTTCCATTTCCATTTATTTTCATTTTTTGCAGGAGATGTGGTGAGATTGAAGAAGTCTGAGACAATATCTAGGGGGTTTTAAGAGCAGAAGTGCAGTTGATTATGTAAATCTTCCTGGACTGAATCACTGATGGCTCTGCCAGTTCTGAGAGTAATTTTGTTTTCTAGCACTTGACAATGGGAGAACAACGCTCTGTCTCTGAGCATTTGATAATGTGGCAGATTCTTTTCACTTTACATGGGTGCAACCCAGCAGATTCATTGGGCTTGTCAGAATGTAACTGGGTGCTGAATCTTGGTCTCATGTGGTTTGATGTATTTGCCAAGTCGGATGGACTGCAGACTGTAGTGCTTTACTGTCAGGAAAGTCATGAATAAATTATAAGAAATACAGAAAACACTTTCTGAAACTGCTCCAGCTTTCTCTTCACCCCCCTCCCTCTATATCTAGCTATATAGTACAGCTTTTTAAATTTTAATGAATAAATGGTCTTGATATTGGACACTTACTTTCCATTGGCTCATTATGGCAGACCAGTGACCCACAGTTATGTGATCATAAGTGGACTCTTGACTGGTGCAGATCCTAGCCTTGCAGGAGGCTGAGGGATGGACAGGAGGCTGTGTCTTTCCAGTGAGCACTTTGCCTGCATAGGATCTACCCCAGAAACTCCTGGCTGACAAACAGCAGTGATCGTAAACTGTAGGTGGCAAGGTATTTCTCAAGTAACTGAGGTAGTGCCTCACTGCTGTACCAGTCGCTAGCTCTGACACTACCAAGGGATGCCTGGGCAGGGGACGTGGCTTGCAGGTGGGGTCCCCTCAGTTCATGAAGATCCTTTGTGAAGCTGAAGCCTTGGAGATGATGCTGAAAGGTCCATTACAGCCAGTTGACTTCTTTCCAGCCAGGATGCTGCCAATAATTGTTTGCTTCTGTTGACATCCAGTGCATTGTTGCATTACTGAAAGGCTTCCTGAGCATGGGGATGGGCCTTGCACTGGGTGAAACTCTGCAGACATCTTCTCTGGTTCAGTCCCATCAAGTGCAGAAGCTTCCTGATGTCTTTCTTGCTTGTTCAGTATTGAATGTAGGGCAGATCCTGCAGTTCTTACTCATGGTGAGACAGCTGCTCCGTTCGAAGGGACTTCTTGGCCTTGTTTGTTTGCTGTCACAAGTGCAGTTATGCAGCTCAAAAAGAGTAATCTTTGGTCTGGGTCCTGAAAGAGTGCTGGGTGCCTTGGGTGGGTGACCTTTTCATTGACACCATCAATATCCTAGAGTGGAGTGCAAATTCAGTTCATCAGGTCTGTGGCCACACAGACCTGAACGGCTCTCTGCAAGGGCCTGATACAAGAAATCATCTGTACTTGGAGCAGTAATTATGGATGTGATTTAAGGGTAAGCACATGCTTACGTGTTGTCTTAAAGAGAGAGAGACTTTAGCGCCTTCATAAGTGCTTTCTGAATCAGCCTTCTATGTAGAGAGTAAATGAATCTTCTGGTTTGAGCTAGACAGTACATGATGCTTGCCTACACTATATCAGAGTGTTTTGTTGTATGATTGTGTTGGTAGTATGACATAAAAGAAAGCACTGGTATTAAGAGAGCTGCTAACTGAGCCTTCCCTGCAGCTCAGAAGTGTCTCTGCTCTTGAATATTTAGTATAATTGCATATGAATTTTTCAAATATCACAAAGGTTTTATGGTCACAGAACTGGCCAAGAGCATTCTTTGTCACCCGTCAGTTAGTAATAAATCTAGACGGCAGACATCTGATCAAAATTAATTGCAGCAGATAGAAGTGCAGCAAATGTTAAAGTGTCCGTAGCATTTACACACCAGTGGATTGCTGTGGTTCACCAGTTCCAAATTATTTTTGGTTCTCAGTTGCTCATTTCTCTGGGGGAAATGAACAAGAACCACCAATTCCATCCAATGAATAAACAGTGCATTCTGCATCTTCACTGACAATAGTTGGTTTATAATTCTCTTGGAAATGAATAGTTTATAAAACCCTTCTTCCATTTGTTTTTAAAAATGTTGGGTCAGATGAGTCCCTTACCTTAAAAACAAGACTGTTATTTTTCTGGTATATTTTGCCGCAGCACCTTGCTCTAGAACACTTGAATGGCACCGTTAAACCTTAAGTGTGAGGCAACACTGTAATTGCTAGGTTGGTTTTTAATATGGCAGTAACGTCTGAGTATAGACCTTATGTAGAGAATATATTTATACACAATATAGAAATGCACATATGAGTTTACAGACATTGTAAAAGCATGTGCATGTTAACTTGTTGTCATTGCTATCCGTAAAATATCAGGAGAGATATTGACATCAACCTAAAAAGGCATTGACAAGTGAAACATTTCCATAGCAGCGTATATTTGGAGAGAATGGCAGAACCTTCAATTAAATTGTATTTCCAGTGGAGCCAGAATAATGTCTTAACAGTGTCTAGACATTTGTGTTCCAGCTGATATACCTTGTTCAGTAAGATGCTCTCAGAATTGACCTTTCAGCAAAATCAGCACCAGTATAATTCATGCTGTTAAACAATTCAAACATGCTTTTTCCTTTTAATTCCTGAAGCTGTATATGGTTAATCTAAGTGAAAATAAGTGTCCTAGGCAAGAGGAAAGAAATTGTGAAGACAGGTATGAGGACATTGTTGTTTTGCATCCCAAGACTGGCAACACAGCATTTGCTCACAGTGTTTGTCAAACAGAATTAGCATTAATGTAGCAGTGGTGGCAGATAAGTGTGGTAACATTTATGTACTGGGACTGGAACAATCCCCTGTTGCTTGTGCAATTAATTCATTAATAATAAAAGTTGTATCTTAAGATGTGGAGGTTTAATGCATTTTAAGAGATTTTAGTACATGATTATTTTTTTCTCTCCTTTTGGGCTTTTTCTGTTTAAATGTTTTATTAGTTTTAATAGTGTACACTGGTTACAGACAGTAAATATTAACAATACAATGAGCCCTATCCAACCCTCATTACTGTCAGTAGGCGAGGTCCTTAGCTGGCACAACCTGGCATACCTCCATTGAGTTTAAATATTGACTTAGTGGAGCGAACACACCAGATCAGAATCTACCCCAGTGTGAGTCTATCAGTTGTATTTCATAAGAAGTGGGTGAGAGAGTGGATCCTGTATGAGTGCCATAACCGGAAGACCCCGGTCGAATTCATAGTGTATTGTCGCATGGGGAGCGGTGCGGCACGATGAAGCATTAGGACCATTGGTGTTTGACTTCTGTGTTACTTACCTAGAATGGGGCTGAGCAGTGCACATGACTACTTGGGGGGGAGCAGGGGGTGTCACACTGAAGCCAAGGTGATTGAAAGGTAGCAAACGGGACTGGTTGCATGTGTTTGGTTTCCCCACCTGACTGTTCTTGTTTGCAGGTGGCTTTCTCTTTCCTCTTGCTTTCCCTGCGGAGGGATGCTCTAGCTCTTTGGTCTTGGGTTAGATACTCCTGCTTTGCTGTTGCTTTTTAATGTTGTTAGCTGATCCAAAACAAGACAGTTTTTAAACTCTCGATTTAATTCTGCAGCAGAGAGTGAAAAGGGGGTGAGTTGCTGCGTGGGAACAGTTAGAATCCCGCAGGGAAGGAAACAGAGAGCAAATGACAGGGTGTACAAATAATGTGACATTCCATATCAGTCACGAAATGGGAACACTTTTAGGAGCAATGCTACTCAGTAAATTATTCAGGAGTCAGAGTCTGTTACCAAATGGCCTATTATTGCATATGACAGCTCAACACATAGGTCAAAAGGGAGTGAGGAGATGAACAGAGAAGACACCTTGCACTAAACGGCAGCAAAATATATTATAGGAGCCAAAGGCAATTAAATGTGATACAAATTGTAGGTATTAATGACAACAGTTGGGTGCATTTGTTGCTGAATTAATGTGCAGCGTTACGGGGTTAATTACACCAGGGACCAGTTTAGCAGAAGTAACATGTGGGAAATGGAAGAGTTATTGACCTGGCTGAAGAAAATTCTCCGTGGAATTCATTTGAAATTAAGAATCATCTTTATCTACAGATGAGATCCCTGGCCCAGCGCAATCTGTGGCAAGGCTTCCCTCGATTTCAGAGGGGCAAGATTCCTTCGCTATGGAGGAGGACTGGGGCTTGGCTTTTCTGCCTGTGCAGCTCTGCAGCCATTGGGTTGGAGCCTTCCTGGCTTTGTTTCCTGCTCCTGCACCCTGCTCTTTGCAAGCCCCAGCCTGGCCAGCCAGGGTAGTTCTCAGAATTCACCCATGTTTGAGCTGGGGGCTAAAGGAGGTACTGCCCTTATGAATACAAGGTCAGCTCAGACTGCTGGTGTGCTG